GTTGTTTCATTTTCTTGTCAAGGCTTAAGAATTTTTATAGAAAGAAAGAATGATCAATTTTTATTGTAGTCACTTGATTATCATCCCTTTTTTCTTAGTTTTAAGCTTCCTTTTACAAGGTTTCAAGAGGACTGTTGCAAATCCTTATGCTTCCTTATTATGGCTCGCTTCTTTTATCTTCGTGATTTGCTTCTTGAGGAGAGAAGTTCCCATTGGTGAAATAAATACTTGCATTAAATGCTTTTACCAAATTGTTGCTTCTTATCTGATCAAAGAAACTACTTATCACCTTTTAGCACCAAGTAGGTAGAAACATGCATCTGTTAGGATGTTGTAGTGATGAAACAACTTTCGATTGCTATTTTTCGTATTTGCAAAGATTTACTTGTCCTTTTTGATGTAAAACATATCTTTCTTTCCTTTTTGTAGAATATTAGTATCAAGAAAGCATTTTTAAACTCAATTTGTGAAGGAATTATTCAAACTTAGTTAGTTTCTTTAGAGATTGAAAATGAAAAAAAAATTAATGCATATCTCTTTTTATGATGAAGGGTTCATTTTATTCTTTAATAGAATCATCTTAATGAATCTATTGTCTTATACCATAATTCATCCTACTAATGTATTGCATCTTAGTGGAAGACTTGTTTTAGTCATTTCAAAAACTTTATACTATTGATAATAAAAAGCTTATATGTTTGTTAACAACATAACTTAAGACCAATAGGATCTAAGATTGTCTTTTGACCTAATATGTAATATAAGGAATAACTTAGGTCATTCTTCTCGAAGACACAAGTCAATATGATCCAAAGTTATCAGACAAGGTTAAAATGGGGGTTACGAATTTCAAATATAATTGAACAATTAAGAATGTAAATAGAGAATTAAACGAAAATTTCAATTGGAGATTACATCGATTCAAGAGTTCAATCCGTATGATTAAATTTTCATAGTTCAAAATATTATCTGAATTCAATCTACCTAAATCAACACAAATGTAATTAAAATATAGATCTAAATCTAGATCTAATGAATTTCCTAAAAACATGAAATGCAATCACGAACTCACAATTTTTGTGAAATTTAAGAACGATAAACGGTTGATTTAGGCAATTTAGGTTATTTTAGGTCTAGATCTAAATCTAGATCTACACCCAAAATTAATCTTTAATATCGGTTCTAGATCTAATTAAACAAAATTCATAATCATGAAAATAGAAATTAAATCTAGAATAGGAAAAAGACGAAGAGAATTCGTATGATAGAAATCGATCAAGAACTTGAATTTTACCATAATTCACAAAACCTTGAACCGAATGAACGGATTAGCTACGCATCTCCATTGAGTTTCTACAATCAATTTGTGTAAAAATGTGGAGATAAAATTTTGAGAGAGAAAGAGAAAAAAAATTAGAGAAACTTGTAGAGGAAATAACTCTAAAATCTAAAAAATGAGTGTAAAGTATACATAACAAGTTTCTCAACACCTATTAATAAACCAATATAGTGACCCTAATAAGAATATTTACAAGACTTGACCCATTAATTAACTAATTAACAAGGTTAGACTACTGATACAATAAATTCCTAAAGTAAATCCAATATGAAGTGTAAAAATGTAACATTGAGACACCTTTTTGGATGCTTAAACGTCTAAACTAAGTGAAACTATTAGCAGAGAATTTGTAGAGCTTTGTCCTAGCTTTCCAGGGACACCAAGAATGTCCAATTCCAAGTTTGGGAACTCTAGATATGGCTTGCACAAAATAACATATCAAGGTGGATAGAAACTTTGAAAATTAAATAGAATTTAGAATTGAAACCAAAGTAATCTAGTAAAACAAATATCAATCAATTCATCAATTTAAAAAACTTCGAAATATCAAATAAGTTTAATATAATGTACTAAAATATGTATTAGTAATGTATTATTAGTCCTAGGCATGATTGTATCATCATTTAAATGAACTATTTTTGAAATCATTATTTGTGACCAACATTGGTGAGTAAATTCATACGTCTGTGTAGTGTATAATAATAATAATCATAATAATAATAATAATAATAATAATAATAATTTAACAATAATTTTTTAATTTTTTTAATTTGGCAGTAAGTTTTGAGAAATAATCATTTAATATAAAGTTATTGAGCGATGTAATAGTTGGTAAAAGTATTTACACTGACATCATTTGATTATTTCCTATATATGAGGCGAGATCAAATGACACTAATGTAACTTTTATCAACTATTACACCGTTCAATAACTTTATATTAAATGTAAATTTTATTGATCCAACTATTGAATTATAACTTTATATCACGTTATATGTTTATGTCAAATTTTTTTAACCTTGAATAACAATTTAAAGGTGATCGAATTGATCATATTTTATTATGAAATTAAATATGTTTTTGGTTCATCAAATTTAAGGTAAATTTATTTTTAGTCCTTCAAGTTTAAAATTGATTTTTTAGTTCCAGTAATTTTTAAAAATCTTATTTTATTCCTTATACTCAAATTTTGTTAGAGAATCTTTCAAATACTATCACATAAAATCTATCTATTAGTGTCTTTGTTAGTGAAAAAAATCACATTAAACCTTACTCATACTTTATAACTGTGTATATTTGTTGCTTTTAAACATATTATTGGTAACCTAAGAGACTAAAAAAAGTAGTTTTTAATTTGAGAGACCAGAAATAAATTTACCTTAAATTTGAGAGACCAAAAACATATTTAAGCCTTTAGTGTATATTAAAATGTATATATTATATCAATTTTGATCTATATGAATGAGGTATAAAGTTATCTTAGATTAATATAAATTTTTTTATATATGATCTAGGAGTAAGAAAATTTCAAACTAATGATATTTTTTAAAAATAATTATTTAATATAAACTTATTGAGCCATATAATAGTTGGTAAAAGTTATATACTAACGTCATTTGATCCCTCTAGATCAAATAACACTTGTGTACTTTTTTACCAACTATTACATTGCTTAATTACATTATTTTAAATATAAATTTTGTCGATCTAACTGTTAAATTATTTTATATCACCTTGAATGTTTATGTCGCCAAATTTTGTTAAAATTGAATAACGATTTGAAGGTAATCAAATTGTTAATATTTTAAGTATTTTTTTATAATGTTTATATTACATCAATTTTAATTTATATAAATGGAGTATCAAATCATCTGAAACTAATATAAAATTTTGTACATATGATATAAGAATAAGAAACTTTCAATCTATAATTAAGTTTTGAAAATAATCATTTAATATAATTTTTTTGAGTGGTGTAATAATTGATAAAAGGTAAATCCATATCATTTGATCTCTCTCTCTTTTTATATATATATATATATATATATATAACTAATTAAAATACATTAATACTTAATGTAAAAATGTTTGATATTATCATTCAAATTATTATGCATATGTGACAATATTTTATATATAATAATATATTTTTTACAAAGATGTAGTAATTATTTTAAAAAGTATACATAACATGATGTAACAAATGGTTGGAGTGAGGTACATTTAAAAATATTGTTAATTTCTTTTAATGTTTATTATGATGTAACTAATATATAATGTATATATGTTGCAACTTTTTGAAGAATAGTATTAGAATACAATCCTTCTAATAGTATTTTTTATTAATTCAAAATATTAAAATTTATGAATTGAAATTAAACTTAATTTATAAAAAAAGAAACACACACACACAAACAAAGACATAGACACGCACAAACACTCTCTCTCACACATGCACACACATATATTTATATTTTGTATAAACATTTTGAAATTTTCTTTGAGTACACTCATATATAATTTAGTCTCGTAATTTAGAAAACAGTTTCATGTTAGTTCTAAAACCATGAAATTTTAAATTAATTATCTGAAACTACATTTTCCCAGTCTTATTAGTCTAAAACTCAAGAAAATTTGTTTGATTAAAGTGATAATATAAATATATATTTAGGAATTAAAATAACATTATGTTTATAAAAATTGTAAAGTGCTTGATATAAATGATGGATTATCATTTCTTTTTAAATTGTGTCATATAATAAAGACTAGAGAATTATGTCTTTAAATTTGAAATTATAAAAATATAAAGGTAAAATAATTTTTAAAATCTTTTTCGTTTCCTTATAAAACAAGCTATAAAATGAATTTTCTCTCTTCCTCCCCATTAAATTATTTCCCCTCCATTCAACCAAATACAATTTTAAACCCTTTATTCCTTCTCTCCCCCCTCTAATTCTCCTCCATTAAAATCCCCCTTCTCATTAAAATCTCACATTTTCCTTCCTTTGAATAAAAAATCCTTTAGTATTTCTCAGTGTTTCAAATTATTGTCTTGATGAAAAATAGTTGTGGAAAATAAAAATGACAGTTCATTGTAAAAATAAAAAATAAAAAACTGTTACAACACTAAATAGTTATCAAAATTTTCTATTAGTACAATCTTTATTTACTAAAATTATAAATACTATAAATTTGTATACTAATAATATATAAAATATATAAATGACAACTAATATTTTTATATTAATAATATATATAAAAAAAAATTACTTACAGACAATTTTATTAATGTAAAAATTAATATATATTTTATTAATAGGTTATATTGATAATTAGTCATAAATCATAATATTATATTAATGAACAATCGTTTCTTAAACAAAAATCTATAACAATAAATTATGCTCGCTCACTAAAATTATTGAAGATATGCCATTTTTTTTTGTAGCAATATCCCTGGTTTTAACTGCAAAGAATAATCAACATAACCAAGTTCTGATGTTGCGTGCATGCGTGCGTAGCTAGAATACCCTAATGAAAACCTCTGGTGGTAGTAATTAGCCCTAATAATGTTTGTAAAGTTTGCAGAATGTGGTGGGTAACTTGATGTAATGCCCTAATGATTAGCTGTGTCTTTTCTACTGGCCCACACTCCATATAGGATGGTCCTTTGCAGATATATATATCATATATGCCTTGCTGGTTGGAATCATAATCCAAAGATATTTTCAATGTGGAGAAAAAAGCATTAACTTGTATCACCAGTGCAATGCTGAAAAGATGGTGCAAAACTCTTTTCCTCGTCAAAAGAACAGACAAATCAAGTTGAATAAAAAGAATTGCATAACAAAGAACCCATCATCAATATCTTGGCCTTGGTCGGCAAAAAAAGATGGCCAAAAGAGAACATCACACGAGGGAAGCACGTATCCTTCTATAGACAACTAGTTCGCTTTACCTATAATAAAGTGTCTTGTCTCTTAAACATACAGTTAAATATTAAATTTGTTATTGTTCGGGTGTAATGAAAGACATTTGTGGAAAGATGTTAAGTTTTTCTTAAATGAATCTTGATATATATCTTAAAATATTAGATCTTAATTTTTTACTAAAAGATACTTTGTTTTGCTAGTATATATGCCCGTAATTAATTCATCTTATCCCCAAAAATCTCATAAACTTACTAGTTTTTCTCTTTTATTTGAGTGCTTTAGATTAAAATAAAAGATAATTCTATACAAGGACAAAGTTATAATGAAATTATGAATTGTTTATCTAAGAAAATTCAAAAATAAAATAAAATTAAAGGATATTGTAGTTTCAATGTTCAACCACGGCACTATTTTTTAAGCCTCTGACAGGAAAAGAACTCATCAGAAGTTAAAAAACGAGATTTTATAGGTTTGATTATATATATTTTCACATGCAGTGAAGCACTCACTCATATAATTGCCTACTTATTCACCATTAATGCTTTCTTGTCAGAGTTATCTCCTGGTTGAAAGCAACCTCAGAACAACCACTCATGCTTTTCCTTATATTTTGTGGTCCTTGTAATTATGCCAAATTATAGTGGTCGTGAATGGTGATCGATAATCACTTCGCCATTAGAGAAAGAGGAGAGAGAGAAAGGAAGAAAAGTGGCAAGGACGGCACGTATAAATGGAATTATATAGACAAAGGTAGACAAGGAAAATAAAAAGGATAATTTTGGGAGTACTGAGAAAGGCCTTTCGTTTCAATTTTTCAAACGTGGATGGACTATTGCCATTAAAGAAAAGTTGATATGGGGCTTTCATTATGGCAACTTGCAATTGGTTTGGGCTTTCGAGAGGACAAACTATTGCTATGTGCAAGTGGGAAGTGCAAGCACAAGCTAGTACTCTTTCTTTCTTGCTTTATATTTATCATTTATACGTGTACACACATATATATATATATATATATGTTCTTACCGGAAATCTGCTGTAGAGGTGATTCGTCAGGTAAGATCGGTGAGCCTCCTTCACGGGTACGCTGGTGTTTCAAGATGGGGGTGATACCTGCAAAAGAGACTCCGATGCTAAAGTTAGGGTTTGTATGAGTAATAGTCTCGTATAAGTAATGTACGTACCTTGGAGTGAATTAGGGTTGCTTTGGGCTTTGGGCCTGTGATAAGATATGATAGCGGATCTCGTCTGGGGCGAGATTTTCGGTAATCAGTGATTAGATAATGGATCTCGTATGGGCGAGATTCTCAGGAATCAGTTGTAATTCACCTGAATGCCCGAGATCATCTTGCACTGTGATGCCGAGCTTGGAGCTCGGCTTCGCGGTACGGTCAATACACTAGCCCCCCGAGCTCCGAAGATCGTAGGTCGAGGAGTTAAGACCGAGCTCGCTAGGGGGAAGTGACCCTTCGCGTATGTTCGCCTGTCGAGATGCCACGTGTGCAAAAGTCGTTTCGTATTTCGAAACGCGAGGTCGGCGCGTTAGTGGTCATGACGGTTATGCAATGATGGCTTCCTCTGTCATAATGGGTCTCATTTAATGCGTGGTCAGGCGTGTCCCTTGGGTGACACGTGTCGTGACCGTTTTGAAATTATGGGGGAGAGTTTTTTCTTTTCTCTCACTCGCGCCTCTTGGCCTTTTTCACTTTGCTCTTTTCCATTCTTGTGGCTTCTTGTGTACGCCGTTGCTCTCGCTTTTCTGCTTGTCTTCCGTCTTCGTCTTCTCCGTTTCCGCCGCCGTTTCCGGTAACCCAGTCACTATTAGGGTTGATTTTTGAGGGAGAGCTCTAGGTACTTCCTTTCTGCAGTCTTCTTTTTCCCTCTTCCCCAACCTTCTTTAAGTCTTTCTTGTCTTTTTCATGGCTGGGGGAAGTGGTGTCGGTTCTTCTGCGCCTTCTCGGGGCAAGGCTCGTGGTAAGGCGGTGGCTACCGGGAAAGCCGCCGCCGAAAAGAGGGATCCGCCCC